GCGTTTTAATAGTTTGATGTATGTGTAATTGTATTTGTATATTACTATAAATGAAAGAGAATGCTACATTTCTATATCAATAACATTATAGTAAGACATGAAACGATAATATAAATATATATTGCTTCTAATATACTTATCATATTTTTTAAGAGAGATAGTTGACTTTCTTTTTAAAAGTATATTCTTTGTTTGTATTTTGTTTCAAAATATATTTTTAAAAAAAATGGTTGATTTTTATTATTTTTTTCGGTGGGAAAATTGAACAGATGGATATTTCTGATATTTGTAATTTCCTTATTATTGTTGTCTGTGAAGAAGTCACTTTTTTCTCCTCCTTCTTCTTCTACTTCTTCAGTGTTTTCTGCTTTGTTTATCTTTTTTTTTCACCTCCCATTTCATTATTGTTGCTCAGTATTAGATTTCCAAAATATTTTGCTTTCTTTTCTATTCCACTCACTCACTCACTCACTTACATACAAAGAGAAGTGTAACATCATACTCATCAATGTGTACATATAAATCTATCACGTTCATAGATTTACACTAACATCTATATTCATATAGAATATTGTATTATGTCATAGTATCTAAGGTTATAAATTAGAGTGAAAATTAAAAACAGTGCAAACATTTTTTCTTTACTTATTGATTAAAGAACAAAATTAAATTCAATAGAAAAAACAATGTAGTTTTATTTCTTCGTCAGAAAACCTCTATATTATGGAAGAAATTTGACGTGCAAATGAATAATGTTTAGTATTCCAAGATGTATAGTTTAAATGTTAAATATTTCCTATCATTCTAAATAAGTGCTTGCATTCAAATGAAAGGCTAATATTATAAGCAAAGATGGATGATGACTAGTAGTGGAATCCAGGATGTGCGTATTGTCCTATCTTGGACTCGTCAGCTTGACTTATCAATGAGAGACTGATCAGTTACAGTGCTGAACATCAATGGAAAGATTCAAACAAACAATAGAAAATGAAGTTAAACTTCACCCGGTCGCATAAGTTAGTAACTATCAGAACTCAGTAGCTAAGTGAACAACGCGATGGTGTTTGATGCGAATAGTACTGTGTTCGAGTCCCGAAGTGAGTTCTGAATAGGGAAAGACGCACGTTCTGGGTTCCACCACCAGCCGTCATCCATCACCTCTTATAATGCTTGTGATTTAAGGCAATATCGAAGCAATCCACACAGGACGCATATATGCCAATGAGAGACTAATTAACTGCAGCCATAAGCGTCAATGGGAATATTCAAACAACAAATACAAAATGAAGTGACAATATTGTTAGATAAAATATAAATAAATGCTTCTCACTTAAACGATCCTACTTAAAAAGCTCTATACCATTCCAAAATAATCTACATCAATACTTTTTTCAAAATAACTCAAAGAGAGTTCTTAATAGAAAAGTTGGTTTGTGTTTAGTTGTGAAATTTATCATATACTATTCGTTTTGTTTAGGACTAGATGCATCTATATCACAGTGTTGATATTTACTCAGAAACGTGAATACAATGCCTACCGTTTTAAACACCTAAGAGTTATTCTTTAAACAACTGGATCTATATAGTTATTAATTTTGCTCAACTAGTATGAAGTTATCAAACAGTGTTTATCATCTCTCTTTGTTATTATTTAGGACTATGACTAATCAATCTTCAATGGCATATATACATCATGAGAGGATTGATTCAGTGGTGACGTTTACTTACAAGATTTTCATTGAAGTTCAGTTCGAGGTAACGCACATTCTGAATTCTACTACTTACCACATTCCAACTTTGAGTAAAAACAATGGGAAATCCAAGACTAACAAATAGTGCCATGAAAGCTAAATTTTACACTGTCCTTTTTAAAACATTTATATATCAGTGAAACTGTATTCGTTCATTTTATTCTGTTTATATATATATATATATCAGTGGTGTAGTAATTGGCTCTGTTTACATAGCTCGTTACATCTACAAGTTTGAGTTGAAATTCATTAGTTTACCTTTTCAATTTGATTAAGAAATGATCTACATAAATCTGTTATCATATTAGATGTCCACTAGACTTATTTTCTCATCACGATAAAGATTTACATTTTTTGAAAAAATGTAAAAATAATTTACAGATGTACTTTTTTTATTTTCTTGAAACTTATCTAACGAGACCATTGACTTGTCATCTGTAATATCCCACTGGAATTGATTATTACTATTACTATAAACTTTTTCTCTTAAAGTGATTTTGATAACTTACTTCTTTTGTCAAAATGGGATAAAATAATGTTTTTAATTTACAAGAAAAGTTGAAATTTCTGCAAAGTAATCGTGATAGAAGTCTAATATGATCGTTTTTAGACAATATTATATTATTAATCGGTTTTGTGTTGGTTGTTTAAATCTTCCCATTGATGTTTCGGACTGTGATTGATCAGTCTCTTTATTGGAATATATGAGCTCTGTGTAGATTGCCTCGATATTACTTCAATCGATCCATGAATGGTTGTGCAACCATTCATTCATTGTCTGAGGTAGATTCCAGTCTCTATCCGACAGGTATTGGACTCCACTTGTCTTGTGGATGCTCACTACTGAAAAGTTCTACACTTGGGAGAAACGGCCGTCCATTGCTTCCAGGTTTTCAATGGTGGTTTAACATTGATTCATTCATGAAACACTGATTAGTTGAAATTCAACTGAACACCTTTTCATCAATCAAGTATAAATTAACTTTTTATCACTCAAAGAAACCTGTGTTTTTATTATATTAAATCCAATGTATTTTCTTTTAATGTAAATACTTTTCTAGTATCCGTTTCTTTTTAAATTCTCATTTGAAAAAAATCATCAAACAGTCTATTACATTTACATTAGAAGGGATATATAATGATAAACGTTTTCTTTTTTTAAAAAAAGGGGGTAATTGGTGTTGAAGAGTCTAGATTGTTATCAAATATATGTATAAATATATATCTATGTCTTTAATAAAATACCCAAACTATCTACTTATGCTTACTTTTAAATATTCCCTAGGGTTAAACAGTTCAAAGTAAGGAGAAAGAAACAAGAGAAATTTTATCTATACGGATAGACAAAATAAAACAAAATCTTCACTTTTCTTTCTTTTTTCTTCTTCATCAAATAACACAAAGCAGTAGGAATTCAAAGGTAAAGAATTCTCTTCTTTCACTTCTTCTTCTTCTTCATAAACAAGGGAAATAAATTATTAAAGGATACTTTTTCTCCCCGAACAGGTTAAATAAATGTGATTTGTTAACAGGCAACAATAGAGTATGAAAACTAAGAAAGAAAAAAAACAACACAGCTAACCGATAAACAGACAAATAATCAAAGTTGGATTTGAAATTTAATACAAATCTGTGAAATTTAATTAAGTTGAAAATGATTTCATTTCATTGCTTGTTTATCCATGCACCATCACATTAGAACAAGAGGTTTATATAGAAATCGCTAATCAAAAAGAAATAAGGATGAATAATGTAATTAAGAATGATTTATTATTGAAATGTTTAATGAAGTTTAGTTAAAGTCTTAGATGTTATCTACAACAGTATGCTAAAGTTATGATGTCAATGAAAATCAAGGATCACTTGATAGTTGCATGGGATTCATTGGTAGTAAACACTTACAACTCCGACAGTGATAGAACTTAGGATTTTAATATCTGGTGACTATTGAATAATTAATTCATTGATGAGACTGTTGGAACTCAGTTATTTCAGGAGTAGGAGATCAACCACCAGCAGTACTGAATGATCATCACTCGATATATATAGTTGATTGAAATTTAAACTATGAAGCGAGGGTTTTCGATGGACTAACTTGAAGGTTGAAGCCTTAAAGGGTAAAGCCTTAAACTTTTAGATTTCATCCACATTAAGGTGGTGGTTGTGAGCTACTAATAAACTTCATACAGTTGTCCAGTGATTTTTGGTTTTCATTGAAAACTTAAGTGATCACAGTTTGTGATGAATACCATATAAAAATCACTTCTTCATAATTCCTTCTTTTGTTCATTTCGTAGAAAACTACAGAAGTAATAAGTGCTGATTAATATTTCGAAGGGATGTTATTCTAACTTAATGCTTAAAAGTCCTGGTTACCTATTTATTTCATCTTTATGTTAGCATAGTGATTTAAGTGTATGGCATTAGCTCCTGAAAACCATCACCGTTTTCATGAACATTTAGCTAAAGAAAGACTAGTTTCTTCATGACATGCTCAGTTATTTGAAATTTTATTATTATAAAAATAAGTTTAGTTGTTATGGTTATGAGTGGAATATAAGACACTCATTTCATTCTATTTGGGACTCGTCCGTTAGATCCATCTGAGTTCCAGAGTAAATATTCATTCCGCTATTCGAACTCAGTACCTTTCATTCCAAACAATAATGTGTTATCTATTTATCTACTAAGTTCGGATAGTCAATTAGTCAATTGCAAGGAGTATGAACTTTAGTTTAATCAACATTGATTTGACTTATCGACTTGTTGATATTCTAACTGAATTTTGATCAAATTCCAAACAAGAATGATAGAAATTCAATGAAAATATCAATAAAGGGATGGTCCAAAACATTACAATCTATTATGATTGTATAAACTGTCTTAGAAAATATCACAGTGTGATTTTCTAATCATAACCACTAATCAGTTTATTGCCTAATAATGAATACCATCAAGTTATCTAATGCTCAACGTTGGTTGAATTCTAGTTTATTATTTATAATCATTAATCTAAATAAATCTATGCGCTTTATCTTGAGTTTAAATGGTTGAGAAAGATTCTCTGTAAACATTTGATCTAGGTCTGATGATAGTTAACACTAATCGACAAGCGACATCTGTAAAGTTTATAAAACTAGTGTTTCCAATAAGATTTAAAGTGTTACAATCGCATCATACAACATAAATAACATAGTATCTCTTAAGTCAGACGAACTGTATCAGACTGAATACGAGATGTTTAGGTCTTTCATTAAATACGATATTATTAAGATCAAAAAATGGACAATATTTTTTGACTTTACTTACAGTCGAATTAAGCCATACATTAAGAAAACAAAACAACAACAAATATTTGAATTATTAACAATAAATTTAATGAAAATGACTGTACAATTCAACCTATAAAGTTAGTATTCTTTCTTTCTTTCTCTCTTTCTTTTATTCTAAATTAGACAACAATAAAAGAAACTCATTAAATAGGTATATATATATGTATATGTATATGTTGATTTCGGAATGTTTATATTTGTATAAAGTTTTAATCATCCATTCTTTACAACTTTCATAAAATCAAAACAAAACAAAACAAAAAGAAGTAAAATAGAAACCCAACTAGTTGAATGAAATGGAAACAAAAAAATTAGGAGTTACAAAATCAAAAAAAAAAAAAACTAAACAACATTTCATGTATACAACATAATGATAATGATGGTTAAATATGTAGATCTATTTATTTGTTTCTTTAATAAAAGAGAAAGAGACGAGGGAGGTAGGGAGGTAGGGAGGGGGGGAAATAAACTGACAAAATTTTCATTATATCACTATGATATAATTATTATTTATTATTACTATTGAATTTTCTCTATTTCAAATTAAACTATGTTAGTGAACTAAGTAAATTCTCTACTGAATAAGGTAATAATTTTTCATCATTATTACCATGTATATTGTTTGGGCTAGATGAAGAATAATTTTTAGGATTTATTGTATCACAGTCATTATTATTATTATTATCATTATTACTATTGTCAGTACCATTATTATTATTATTATTATTGTCAATACTACTATTGTTATGATTATTATTATTATTATTATTAGTGTTGTTAGTGTTGATTGTTTTAGATAAATCTAAACCATTGAAATGATGAAATGAATCAATTAGATCAGATGAATTTGAATAATTCTGTAAATGAATTGATGTAGGACTAGAAAGTATATTTGGTAAAGGTGAAATAGACGATGATGATGATGATGATGATGTTGATGATGATGAATTTAATGTAATTTTATTATCATAATGTAAATTATGTGATTTTTTCTGATTTTCTTGAATGTGATGAATAGATATATGAGAAGTTTGTCTATTTTCTAATGTATAATTTTTTTTACATAAATCTATTGTACCATGTTGTGTTTCAATATGACGTCTTAAATCAACTTTACGTTGAAATGCACGTAAACAATGAAAACAAGAGAATGGTTTAAAACCAGTATGTTTACGTGAATGTGTAATTAAATTGGATGATTGACTAAATGCTTTACCGCATTGTAAACAAATATAAGGTTTTTCACCTAAATTTTTAAAAAGAAATACAAAAAAAATTAAATATCTAAATAAATTGATGTTAGAAATTAGTTTTGAATAGATTAATCAGTTCCATTATTATTGGGAAACTTAATAGTAACATTTTGTTAAACAAAAAAATAAACGAACAACTCTTGTGGGGGGCGTGATCGTGGATACGTATTGCTGAGGAGTCCGATGCTAGGACGAAATGGCCATTCAGTGCTTTCAGGTTGTTCTATGGTGATCTAGCTTCAATTAACTCATGAATTCAACTATGAAACCATAAAAGACTTTAGACTATTTTTTCATATAAATTTGAAAATGTTCTAAGTGAACTGTAAGACAGTTACTATTATAAATTGACCAAATTTATAGTCAGCAGATAAAAATCTTGTTGTTTAAATGAAGTGTTCACTTCAACTTAGGGTTTTTCTATTTATTTTAAGGACCGATCATCAGTATATTTTTAACATTGTTAAATTTTCGTTTTTGATGAATAAACTTTTAACTAAGAATTTGTTGGAATAGGAGATTTGTGAAGATAGTGAAATTTTAGTAGTTGAAATCATGGACTGATCTTAGCTAGACCAACATCGGAAGTTTGGAAGCACTGGACGGCCATCTCGTTTGATTACAGGACTTATTAGCTAAGACGATTGCGTGATTTAAGCTGTGAAAGTATTACAACCTCCACAACTCTTCTGTACTAATAATGATGATGTGCTCATTAATGACTATATTCAAGATGTCTCTCGGAATTTCGATGAGTAATGGAGTCCCATCTGTGTCGGGTGTGTGACAGTTATGCACTACATGAAAAGGATGAATGATCGCTCAATATCATGAACTGGTTGAAGCTAGATAATAACGCTATTGGACGATAGTCCAGTGGTGTGTGGATTAAACATTCGCAGGAGAGACTGGTGTTGGGTACGATTCATGTTTAGGGGTCGTAGATACGCACCGCTGAAGAGACCCACTCTGGGACGAAACAACCATCCAGTGGTTTCAAGTTTTCAATGATTGTCTAACTAATATCAGCTCGTAATTCATAATGTGGAAGGATTTCTTATTATTAAACCTGAAAATACTTTTAAAAGCATTTATCATTTTAATGAACATAATTTAATATGGACATCTTTTCCAGTCACTTTTCGATTAGAATTAGTTCAAATGAAATTTAACATGAAGGTAATTCATTGTACATCACTGATTCCATATATTGCAGTAAGAGTGATATAATTAGCTACTTTTTGGATCATTAATTTTGATATACGATAATAGAACCTGAAGAGAATTGATTGAGAACAATATTCATTGTGTTTTTGATATGATTGGAGCTTTTAAGCAGTTCACATGCATAATTCTCAAATCAATGGTAATTAGTTATCATTATATCAAATCCAAACATCTTTTTGATTATTCTTTTCTTATTTAAGTAAACTGAATCCTATGAACTGATTGTTTGGTAATCAGAATGCGTTACACGGTATAATTCATGATAACAAAAACAGCTGATCTTATGTTGTAGTTTGCTTATAGAAATCGATATAACTTCTACATAAACCAACGAATTCCTACGAATTATTAGTGAGCAACTGCTAATGACAAAGTGATTTATAGTTATAATTATTGAGATTCAGTTATTCAACTGATTATTTAATTTGTATCAACGTCTTAATTATTCTAAGAGTGAAGATTGAGAAAACGAATATTTCAAAACAGACCAGTTAGAAAAAGAAAAAATAAGTTCAAGTCACATTAAACTAACTCATTTCTTACAGTATTTCTATGTGCTAGTAATATTTCATTGATAACATAACTCATGTATCAATTCCCTGCTTATAAATTCAACTTGCTGTAATATTGTTTGTCAGAGCCAGTAATACTACCCAGTTACTAGAAACAGAAATAGATACAGGGTAAATCGAATGTATGACTGACGATGAGTATTTTAATTACTAAACTACCTCTGATGAGTACATCTACCTGTCAAGTTACTTTGGAGAATACTGATATGTCTACTGTTTGATATGATGATAGTAATATAAATATTCAGGTTTAGCAACTTCTAACAGGTCTAATAATCTCTCATTAGATACACTGGAACACAAATGGTACTATTCGGTCATTTTTCAACATTATTTAAAAATTCTAATAAGAATTATAAAGAAGCCTATGAGACTCAATAGTCCTTAACAGTTAGCTCATGATCAAATCAAAAATGAATCTAGCTTCAAGTAGTTGATAACAATATATATATGAAGGATATTTTGCAAGTACACAGTGTCAAAATATTATTTACTTACCAGTATGTGTATAAGTATGCTTTTTCATATCAGATTTTTGATGAAAACGTTTACCACAATATTGACATGGATAAGGACGTGTATCACTATGTATTAATAAATGTGTACTCAATGTAGATGAACGTTTAAATGTTTTACCACATTGAGAACATTGAAATTGTCTATCTTGACAATGTACACTTTCATGTTGATATAAACTTGTAGCATGACCAAATGTTTTCTGACATAATTGACATTCAAATGGACGTTTACCATTATTATGTGCTCTGTTTGATCAAATGGAAGTAAGAAAATCAGTAAATGATACTTGCAAGAACAAATAATCATTGTTTAAGTCAATACATGAAATAGAAAAATAAAAAAAACGTATCATTTATGTTAAATTTCTTACTTATGACTTTCATTGAAGTAGTCTGATGTTTGAAGAAACTGAGGTTTGGTTAAATTAAGTATAATTCAAAAAAACGAATTTGACACATTTACTTGAACTGTATGAATTAATTTTCTGCTTTTTTGACATTTTCCCCTCCGAATAATCCAAAAGTTTTGTTGGTTGCAGACTGATCACAGATTGATTTCTATTGAAGTACTATTGGAAATCATAGAGCACTGAATGTTTGCTTCGTCTTACTGTGGGACTCCTCAGAAGTGCGCATCTATGATCCCTCTTCTCGAGATTTTAACCCAGGACCTATCAGTCTGGCGCGTGAGCGCCTAACCATTAGACCACTGAGCCGGGATCCAACGGTGTTAATATCTAACTTCAACTAATCCACGAGATTGAGCGACACATCGAATCTCAGGAGGTGGGATCGTGGATGCGCACTGCTGAGGAGTTCCATAGTAGGACGAAATGGCCGTCCAATGCTTACAGGTTTTTATGGTGGTCTAGCTTCAATTGACTCATGATCTCAACTAATAAAATTTTTGTTAATGTTTTGAGTAATGCAGTCACTGAATACCAAATGTTAAATATATCATTCTAGCAATGTGTTTTCCAATACGACATAATTTTTTTGAGATTTTTGAATAATACTATTCTGCTTAGTGCATATTCTATGAAGCTATAAGCATGTACACAATCTTTAATTAAAACTATGGATTATAAACACTAGGAAAATTAAAAATTGCAACTGAAGAATTATTCATTTCCTATGAATACAGAGATTCTAGATGCCTAATGGACTAGTTTAGGCATATTGATTATTGATCAAATATCATTACTTGTTAATAAAACCTAATGACTCTAATTAGATCGTATGAATGATTGTTGTCAAAATATACATCCTGGCTATCCTCGTATAAAACTATCGACTTAACTCACGTTAGTGAATAACGGAATTAAAATAAGTCAAATATAAGAATGATTTTTTGAATGCATATATTTTTTACACTGATTGATTTGAACAAACAATCAGTGGAATGAAGCGAATAGAAGAGAGCAAAGCAAGATGACGCGTGGTGGACAAGGCATGTGAACCAATTCGATTTAATCAAGCGGTGATCGTCACACAAAAATAGGCTACAGACATGTGATGAGTAGGATAATATGTTCACACACATGCTCATATAAAATCAGTCAAGGTGGATATGTGAATAATTAACAAGGTCAAAACGTGACTCAAGAAAGATGGATAAATTGGCCTGTCTAGAAGTTAGAAGTCAGTTATGTGAGCTTAACATAGGAACCGACATTACAAACCTAGTTCAGTTTATACAATCGGATATTATTATTTACACGGGCTTATAAGAAACTTTTAACTTAAATCTAAGTATATAAACCCTATACTTGATAATTAATTGAACTGTTTCATAAAGCTTAGCTAGTTAGAATTAGTCTTCAAGGAATTCTATTGGGTCATTTTTTATACTAATTGGTACTAGACTGTAAGGTATATCTGTTATAGTCAATGAGCTAATAATAACTGCCAAATTCGAATCCACATCATTCAGCTTCACGTTTTAAGACATTACCAATGAATTGGTCAGGGAGTAACTGACATTCTGCAAGACTCAGATATTTACAGTTGATTGTGTTTTTCTAGTCCTTTAGTACTGATGAGTCTTTATTGCAATATAGTTACTAGTTTGAATGATTTGATAATCATTTTAAAGGTGTTTCATTAAATCTACGAAGTCAGATAGATTGTTAAAAAATAAACCAAATATGCTAAGAAAAGATCTAACATTAATTTTATAAAAATCTTATCAACAACTAACCTTCTAACATGTACTTCTAAACCATGTGCAGTAACAAAATACTTATTACATAAATTACACTTAAAAATATTCATTGGAATATTTTCAGGATTTTGTTTAGGATCTAATATAATTTCTTCATCATCAACAACAATATCATCATCATCATCATCGTCATCATCATCACCACCATCATCACCATCTTCATTGTTATAACAATCAGTTTCATCAACTTCTAATTGATTATTTCCATTCAATATTTCATTATTATCAAGATTATTCATCTCCTTATCTTCGTTAGAATATTTCTTTCTCTTATTATTATGATGATGATGATGTTGATCAATAATTTGTGAATTTAAATTATTTTTTATTGATTGCGATAATTTATTAAATTTTATTGATTTATTTTTTAATTTTGATTGATTTATGATTATTTGTGGATCAGATCTGTTATTATTATTATCATGATTTCTATTTAGTTTATGAGTATTATTACTATTAACAGTAGTATTAATAGTGGTGGCAATAGTAGTATTAGTAGTAGTATGATTTTGATTATGTAATAATGTGAAATTATTTAATTGTTTATCATCATTATTATGATTATTAAAATGATTATCTAATTGTTTTTGATTGATTAATGATATATTCTCATTGATTATTGTTGTATATATCTGATTAAAATGATTTTGATTAAATAAAGAAATATTTACAGGTAAATTATGATTCATTTGTAATTGTTTAATAGTTTGATAAAATAATGAACTTAAAGTTTGTAATTCATTTGGAATAAAATTATATGGTAACGTTTTTGATGTCATTAAAGTTTGTGGTGGTATTATATCTTGTGTAGTGACAGTGAATGAAGATGTTGTTGCTGTTGCAGTTGTTGTTGTTGTTGTTGTGGCTACAGATGATAATGTTGGTGTATTGATCATTTGTAACCAATATTGATGAAATTGTGATAACGATGATGATGATAATTGTGCTTGTGAAAGAATTTGATTAAAATGATTATTTTGTGAATTTGGTAAATTGATTAGATTATCTATTTCAGTAGTATTATTGTTAAGTGGAAATATAGGATATGGTTGTTGTTTAATATAAGAATTTGATAATAGTGGATTATATGATGGATTAAATAAATGATTACCATTATTATTATTATTAGATGATGGATCCATGTTTTTACTATCAAAGTTGTTTCTTAAATGAATATCAGAAGGAATCTTACAATGACTATTCATATTAGTATTATGAATTGTTATTACATTATTTGAAAATCCAGTAGTATTTCTATTATTTTCTTTTTTAAGATAAGATTGTTTTAATTTATGTTTATTGTAACGCATAGGATTTGAATTTGAACGTGATTGTTTACGTATTCGTAAATCTTTTGGTGCTAAAATGAAAAATTTGAAAAATGAGGCAAATTGAATAAAATAATCATTTTGACGAAATAATTCACTGACCCATTGTAGACTAATGTGATATAATGATTGAATTCATGAGTCAATTAAAGCTAGACCATTATAGAAAACTTGGAAGCACTGGGTAGCTGTTTTATCCTAGTATGGGACTTTTTAGTAGTGCGCTGTCACGATCCCATTCTTGTTCTCGCAAACGAAAGCTTAACCTCTAAACCATGGTGATCTAGCTTTAATTGACTTATGAATTCATCCATTAAATTACTAAAGTTTTCACAAAACCTCCTTTTGATAATGTAATATAGTTACCAAGGTGGTTTACATAATTTTGAAATCAGTCAGTCAGTAACAACGTAGAACTTCGCACGTACGTACATCAGTTCGAGTTGCCACACCATATTAGCACAGAGATACAATCGTTGATTCAAATCCCGTAGTGGTATAGGTAGTAAAAATATAGGCAGTAATCAGAAAGATTAGGGTTTGAAGATGTTATTCAAAGAGTATAATCTAGTGAAATAAATTTGGAATGAGAAAAAAAGGACATGAAGAATTCAGAAGATTAAAATCTGGGAGAACACAAAGAGTAGATGCACTTGCACCATTGCAATCGACTTTGAGTCACGTCACTCAAGGTCTCAAACCATTGATTGCTATTATCTCGCGGATCCCAACCAGGTAGTCTACACCTACCAACGTAGTTCAGTTCACTTGTCAGTGACTTCACGGACTTGTGCCATGTTTTGGTCTGGCCTCCCAGAGCTTTCTTCCAACCTAATCCTACACCACTGAACATCGCACGTCGAGACAGTCAGTGCTTGGGCATACGTAACACGTGTCCCAGCCATCTTAACTGATGAAGTTTCACTACTTCATCAATTTTGAAATATTTATTATTAAGAGTTAAACTATGAAATAAAAACTATGTAATTAGATTTTAGACTAGTTTTTGAATTTTGATAAGGGAAGTAATAATTTATAGAATTAACCAAGTCAAGAGTACAACAGTGATTTTTTGTCATGAACTCATATTATTTGGAAAATTATCGATATCGTATGTTATGGGAAATATGCATTACTGTGAGATTTTAAACAAAATTGAAACATTAAATGATCCTTGTTTTTCAATGATTCTTCAATTAATGTCAAACTATTAGAAAAACTATCTTCCAATCAAACTAATCTCTACAAACGAACTAATTTAATAAGCAAAATACAACTGATAAAAAAACAATGCTGAATATGAACACCGAAGAAGCTACAAACACTTACTAACAACTTCATACTAGTTTATCATGTTAGTGGCCATTTTGACTTAGTAGTTCACTGAATAACGCATTGACGTTTAAAAGTTGAAAAAAATGTCTTGGATTCAGGTTTCAATATAAATATCAATGTTGAAATACTGGTACATTCAGCTAAAGAGTCTTAAACAAGATAAAACCTACGTTATAAATTCTACCGCTTCAGTTACAGACTAAATAAACCAAAGTATTTATTTTTTTAATCATTCATAGAGTATTTATTTATTCGTAAGCTTACGTAAAATCGTTTCTATATAATTTGAATTTCATTCAGATTATCATCTTAAACTTTCTAATCATATTAGGCTTTTTTCATTAATCCATTTCATGTATAAGCCTTAATTCGAGTCCTCCTTATTGTCACAGTGATAATGACAATAATTTCATATGTCTTTTTTAAAAAAAGCCTTAACCTTTTTAGAAGAGTTGTTCGTGTCTTTAATAGACATTTAAAAGGAAAGTAATGTATTATTGATTGAGATTATGAATCGATTGATGTTAGACTACCATTGAAAACCTGGAATCACTAAACGGTCATCCCGTCCTAGTATGAAACTCCTCAACAGTGCGAATTCACGATCTCATATACAGAATTCGAATCCAAGACCTTCGGTATCACGCACAAACGTTTAACCTGTAGACCATCGGACCGGCAATCATCGATAAATAATGTCTAACTTGAATCAATCCTAGATACTGAACGATCATCTTGTGCTCATTAATGACTAGCTTCGAGAGGTAATTCTTGGATTTCTAATACGAAGCCATGATTAGTAGAGCTAATCCATGTCAGATTTGAAACAGTTACTCACCGAAAATGATGGAATATGATCGCACAATTTCATGGATTGATTAAAGCTAAACTGATAATTAATTCATTCATATATACAGTAAATTCAATAAACAAGTATATCCTATTTTTAAAAAATAATAAATAAACTTACCATTTATATCATTTGAGCCAGACGATAGTCTTTGTTCATCATCTATCTGTTTATCATTAATCAGTTTATCATAATTAATAAATTTAGGAATAGTCAAATTCGATACAGATTGATTCATTGAAAGATGTTTAAAATGATTGTTTCTATAATGATCACTTTTCAATAATAATTTATCCGGTGTTAATACATCATATTTTGTATACTGTTCCAGTTTATTCTCAATATTATTGTTTTCATAAGAGTTTTTATTTGGTCTAAAAGAATTGGATGGAAACAATGGATAAGGATCTGATTTATTATTACTATTACAATTACTATTATTATTATTATTATTATTATCACTATTATTAATTGTATTGTAACTACTATATTGTTTCATTGTTTCAATATCAAATTGATGTGATAATTCTGGCCAGGTTGTCATCGAATTATTATACGCCATTAAATGATTTGAATTCAATTTCTAGGAGAAAAACAACAATTACAATAAATGATAACATTATCTTTTGTCCAAAACAAAACAAACACAATCAATTTTATTGATGAAGTTAATAGGACTAAAAGTTCCATACTCAATCCCCCCCCATAAAGTCATGAATGTGTAGTGTTGAAGAGTTCCATATAAAGAAGAAATAGTTGTTTAGTGTATTCTAGTTTTTAATGATTGTTCATGCAAGATTAACCTTTATTCATTGCTACATAATTTCATATGAGTAAAATGATGTCGGTTATTTTGAAATATTTATTAGTCTCGTGATATCGAAAATCTATAATTTGATTATCGAATGTTTTAAAAATCTAATTATCACGTATTATAATAATCATTGGTAGGAATGATAACAACCGGGTGGTTATATATTCAAACACACTAACAACCTTCATATTTATCCGAATGTTTTTTTATAGATTGACACGTTTTCCGGGTACAGGTTCAAGTTACACTCTAAGTATGAGGGTTAATGATACTATACGATTACTTAAAACCAAACAATAAGAGTAGGACTCGAACATGCAACTTAATGGATAAAGTTTGAACATTCTAACCAATGAACCAATGCTCTACTTCATACATTATTGAAAATACTTGTATACAATGTTTCTCAAAAAAAATATGAATTCTCATAGAGGACTAAACTAGAACTAGTCTCTATAGATCTTCCACTTGAATAACATACCAGACTTTACTTTTGTTTTGAAATTTTTTTTACATCGTTTTTAAAAAAAATGCTCGACAACTAGATAGTAACTATAAAATGATTTCATTGATATTGAATATTTAATTACTTAACGATTCAATTCAAAGACCGTATTAGGATTAATTCTTTTTTGTACTATCAAAATTTAATTTCCAATTAAATTTCCGACTTCAATTTGGTTCTCTTTTTTTCATTTCATTTGGATTGTTTTAACTTAATAATTGAATTCATTAGTCTATCAAAGCTAGACCACTGAGGAGTCCCATACTAGGACGAAACAACCGTCAAATGCTTCTAGGTTTCTCATAATACTCAAGCATTAGTCAACTCATAAATTCAACTATTAAAATAGATATTATGCAAAATAAACAAACTAGTTTGATTTACTTCTTAAAAAGAAAATATCATTACCCTTTAAATGTTAAAAACATCATTGTCATTATTATCATTGTTATTTACCTGTTATTATCTGTTGATCGTAATTATATTAACCCTAATAAACTCAAAATAGAATTTTAAATTTCAACACAACTAGGTTTTATGTTATCTTACCTGTAAGGATAAACAAAGTTGATGACAACAAACAAGAGTTAATTCCTAAGAGAATCTAACAATCCATATTCTATTAAAGTTCAAAGGAGATGTCCTAAAGATTAGTTATTTGTGAATATTAGACAAAGTTTCATAGTTAACTTAATTCAGTTATGAGATTAATTGTCCAATTATCGATTGCTAGTGTTATAACTGACTTATTATAATAGTTTAAATGAAGTGAATTTAAACTTTCAACTAAGCTTCGAATTTCGTGAGGTGGGATCGTGGATGCGCATTGCTGAGGAATCCCACGATAGGACGAAACAGCCATCTAGTGCTTCCAGGTTTTCCATGGTGGTCTAGCTTCAATTGACTTATGATCTCAACTACTGAAGTTACTATAATATCCACAAAATCCCGTCTGATACTAAGTTTAAAAAGTTAAGTTGTCCAATGCTCAATATAATATAAATCCTCAAAATCGTCTATAATAAAAGTAAATTACAAACAACACCAGGTTACAATCACTAACTAAACCTAAAATCTTACTATGTTTTTAGCTCTAGGTAAGAAAATTTAATTTTAAATGTGAAACATCGAAATTTGATGACAAAACATATAAATGACTACAAAGCATAAACAATTCAAATTTTGTGATTTAAAAGTGAAACCAATTAATTTTATGATTTCCAGTTAAACTATTGAGATAGGATGATGGTTGGAAGTAGTCGACAGAAAACCCTTGACCTAGGTTTCGTGCTATTTGACATTCGTCAGGTGTACGTGTAATATTGAGGGGACTGATGCTCTCTCACGGATTCGATCCCGTGTCACACAGCTTCACAGTCAGAGACATTATCACCGAACTTTTCAGGCCACGACTTACCTTTTGTAGGACTGAGATGTATTTTACAATTGACTGATCACTGGGCGGTGATCACTGTCATGTGTGTCAAGTCCCTCTTAATGCAGATCGGATTCGATCCACCAGTTAAACTGTGCTAATACATGTGTAATAATTACCATTATTTATTAAAACCATAACTTATGAAATACATTCGATTGGATTGTAATGAAATAATTTCACTTATTTGAGATATAGTTATTGTGATAGATGTTTCCAAATCCATACTAGTATTATTAATCGACTATACAATAGTAAAAGTTAAAGAATACATTCAGTATTAGAGATACATAGTGTAATGAGTATAAACAGTTATTTGTTATTTCATTCTCAAGTAAATAATAAGTAGTATAAGATAACTGAAAATTATAAATATCATTCTGAAGTAAATGAAATTATATGATTCATTGTATAAAACACATTGTAATAACCCAAGTTGAACCTAGTAAATAGTTAAATCTCTTATCTTATTTGGTAGAATAAATGAATCAACATTCTGAAGATTGCTATTATTATTATTATTATTGGCTTTATTCAGTATTATGTTTTTGATACAATATAGAATTCTCAGTACAAAGTATTTCAACAAGGTCCATTTTCTTATTGCTTGATCGATCCTGATGATAAATATTGAATGATCTCCAATTAAATGTTAACAGTTTAGAAATAGACATCTGAATAATATTCATTCTTTTCAATCCATATTGTCATCCACCACGATGTCTATGAATATACTTTTTTGTAATTTGTACAACAAAATGTTGTAAATTTTTTTCATGAACGCACTTGAATATGTTATGCCATTAATAGACATAATAATGTATTAAAACAAACAATAAGATTTGTTGTAATATCTAGAAGGTAGGAATAGGTAGTCCAGTTATTTAAGCAGACCACCAGATTAGCAATCATTCGTCTGCTATCCTAGTTTCATTACAACTATAGTTATAGTGTATACATCAATCTAAAAGTCCATCAAGTAAGAGTATTCTAAGAAGTTAGTTCAACTAATTCTAAATATCAGTCAGAAAATAATTATAATTCATATATAGTATCAATTTCTCAGTATCATCAAACAGAAAATAATTCAATAATCAGAGTATTGTAAACCGAGTTTTATGATTCAATTTATTTAAAATACTCTACAGAAATATCTGTCAAATATCTTCTATAGTAATATTACTGTTAAACCTCTTGAAATACAATAGTGTAAAACTGTGTTTCTATTGGATTTACCCATATTCATTGTGAAGACCAATCTATTATCTAGATGAACTGACTGGAAGATAACCAACATCAATTAGCCTGTACATATTTATTATACTGTTGAATATTATCTGTTTATTGTTTGATGTTGAACAATTTAGATTCTATCATAAAACACTTAGAAAGTAAACAAAATACTTAAGTTAGGAAAGTTATATCATAGAAAAATGCTTTATTATATCAAATAAACTAACAAGATAAGAAGAGTTAAGAAATTACAAAAAATTACGTCACACTTCAATCCATAACATTATTAATGATACCAATTTCAACGATAATATTGTTTACTTTTAATGTAGAATTATTCAACTCAATCCTTCATTATCAGAATGAGGTTTTGTGGAGATTTTAGTAATTTAATAGTTGAATTCATTAGTTAACTAAAGCTAAACTATCATGGAAAACCTGGAAGCATTGGACAGCTGTTTCGTTTTATTATGAGGCTCCTCAACAGTGTTGATACACAATAAATCCTCAGTTCGAACCCCGTGAGCAGGATCGTGGGTGAGCACTAATGATGAGTCCTGTACTAGGACGAAATGGCCGTCTAGTGTTTTCAGGTTTTCCATGGTGGTCTAGCTTTAGTTGACTTATGAATGTAACTATCAAATCGTTTATTTTATCTGTGCATCACTTCATTATTGATTAAAACTAAACAATTGAGAATAAGACAACACTAAAACACAGTAAACATTACAATAATCTATATATAAAATATAATTTTTAACAAAAAACAACTCGAAAATAACGAATGAATGGGTTTTTTAAAGTTTTACTTACTAAAAAATGTTATATCATAGAAATTCTTTATAGTCCTTATAGTAATGGTTAACCGTCAAAGAAAAAAATATGAGATTTGAAATAATCCGTCCACTGAATTTCCAACTTCAATATCCTCTTATTGTCGTATGCTTTCTTTTATTAACTACGATTGTGGTCACAAAGTATAAATACAATTGTGAAAGACAATTTGATGAATATGAGTTTATGGTGTGAGATCTTATTTTAACAAAAAAAGGGTTAAAAGGGAGTTGTAAAATCTATACATACATATGTTTATATGTATATATATGTATATAAACATTGTACCAAAGGGAGTAGGAAGTAAATTTTAAAAAATGGCTGGAATCTGCAAATGAGAAAAATCTGTTCTCATTTTTCTTTCTTTGAGTTTACTTTTTTTTATGAGGAGGGGGAGATGTTTCCAAATTTGTTGTTGTTCATCTACACATTTCGCTCACAATAATTGTTCCCTCAATATCTTTCTGCATTTGTTTATGCATAGAAGCACAATAAGAGTTGTAGTAGTATTAGTATTAAAAATAGAGATTGAAATTAACTTATGGAATTTGTTTACTAGTAGAAGAAATCATACTCAATCCTTGACTTAGTTTCTCTCCCTCTCATATTGTTTCAACAAACTTGTGTGTGTATGTGTGGTTACTTTAATTATTTCGCTTCATATACACACATGCACATTAATAACTGTTCACTCATTTACTCAATCTCATCCTTTCTTTCTCTCCGTCTGTTTGACTTTAGTTGTTGAATGTGTTCTCATTGATTCATTCTCTTTTCTCAATCATTGTCCAATTGATGATAAATCCCCCTTTAAACATTGAAATCTTTTCACTATTATTCAAAATCAAGGCGATACATATTGTGTGATTAACTTGTAAGTACATACATACAGAATTCTCATATGTATGTAGACACAAACATGTAACTACTTGAATCTACGCAAATTACGCTTAAAGTAAACACATTCCAACTGTTATTTAAGATTCTGTTTCATTCACTACAGAATAATCATTACTATTTATGTAGAAGAGTAGAATTTGTATGTAAGTAGTAAAGATAGTAACAATAGTAATAATTTTAAGGATGACATCTATTCATTTAAAATAAATATATGTCTAATGGGATTATCACCTAATAAATGTTGCCAACCAAACGATAGATAACAAGTAATTGATTAATTTCTCTTTATCTACAAATTATAAAATAAACTCAATTCTATATTAATAATGGATAATGACATATAGTAAATATGTATATATCACTAATTAACGGATTGGTTAACTTATTTATTATATAAGTTTCTATGGTTAGTTCATTAGTGAACAAAATCGTTGGTAACTTGATTATAATTGTCATTTAATAATAATAATACTAAGAAGAAGAAAACGACGAAGTAAAAGAAGTAGAAGAAGAAGAAAGAAATCTTCCGTTACTTGTTGAATACTATGAGAGGTAATTAGTTGTAAAGAAAAACGATAGACAACATTTAATTACAAAAGATTATGACAAGACTTAAACAGATAGATATGTAGAAAATTTTTAATATAAAATTTCATTTCAAACTGTGTTGAGTTGCCATAATGTTCCTGTAATAGATAAATATAAGATATCATATGTATATATTTTCCCCTTTTACATACACATATACTTTCGTTATATATTTGAGTATAGCATAGAAATATCTGATTACGTATGGAATTATATTTCATAGAGTTATCTATAGGGAATAACAATAATAATAATAATAATAATAATAATAGTAATGGTAAGCGTCATTATGATACTTATAATGAAGATAATTTTGATGCTGGGGTATATTCTTAGGTAGAAAACCAAATGTGATTTCTTAATGAAATTGAATATACCAAAAAAAAGTTTTTTTTCTTTTTTTCCCTTTAAATTTGATATCATTAAGTCATTTTTAGTTTTAATATAAAATGACATTTTTGATTAACCCATAAGTATAGGAATAGTAAACAGATAAGATAGAGGTAACGTTTATGCTATGGTGATCTAGCTTCAACTGACTCATGATTTTCACCATTAAAATTATTGATAATATCTACAAAACCCCCTTCGGTTATTAGAAATTGCTTAGTTCATTGTAAGAATTGAAGGTTAAAGGATTTCCTTTCTTACGAAGAATAATTATTGTTAATAATTAACATAATGTAAATAACCAATGGATCGGGTCTTAAGATGTTAAAAATGTTGTACTTATTCACTGAACACTTTTAATTTTTAGGTCTTATTTCGAAAATTGAAAATATGAAGGATTATACAGTGAAATTAGTAGTTGAGAACATTTTCTGATTTGAAGTGATTCTCACCAATAGTGAACTATTTTAAAGGTGTATACACAAAAAATCTATCCAAGTCATTTATTATGATGTCATAATAATAAGATGGTTGATTTGAAATTAAACTTATTAAATCGTCTCATCAAATTAATGCTTGTCTATGAAGTTCTTTCTTCCTGTACTATGTCCTTATATGTAATCTTTTTTTATATATGACCATCGCTAAATTAACCATTTCTATGAATTTGGTATTCATCTTGTTGTGCTAATGAGGTATGTCAACTTAGACCGATACACATATGTGTCTGGTCCTACGTTGTAGCTGACTGAAATAAAAGTATTAAGTGTGCACTAAAAACCGAATTCTCAACTACTTACTTAACATTTATGTGTACATTGGTTAAACGATTGCAGGAAAGTACTGCAAAAACTCCGGGGAATAAAAAAGTGAGCAATTATTTATCGTTTTTCAAGTTTACGTTTCCTTTTTCAGTTATTTGCTTCTATATTCATTTGTTTTGATTAATTATTAAGAACAACCGACTCAACTTAGACATCCGTAAAAAAAAATCAGGAAGCACTGACACATTTTGTTTTGTCATTAGATGATATTATTCAGTGGCGGGCATATGTGATCTCATCACCAGAGGTGAAATCCAAGAACTCCGGTCTCGCGCATAAACAATTAGAGTTTAGATCATCAAGGCGGTATTGAATAGTGTACATATCTAACTTTGGTCTGTTCACGATATTACTGGACTACCTTTCATTGTCTTCGATAGGTAATTACCTCACAACCTACTCGAGTGAAATTCACTGGCCACAACTTCGTATTATAATTCCAGAACTACCCATCGAAATTATTCACTAGCGAGCACAATATATTTACATGTAAAGAGGTTTGTAGAGATTGACCTAAGATTAAAGTTACACATAAGCACAACTAGGTTTCAACTCAGAAGTCTGGAGGTTGAACGTCCGTGTGTTAGATCGAAAGTCCTGGGTTCAATCCCCGGTTGCGGGGTCGCGTATATGCAAAAAACTTTACCAAACTTTTTTTGAGATTATTTAACAACGTATATCTGTAGCCTAGCTGAAATTTGTATCTCTTGAGAAATTAATACCCTGATTATTGAATGATATATAAAACAGTTTACTTTTTGTCTATTAAGAGGAAATTCTCTAATCGTTCATGTGTGTGTTATTTAACTATCTACAAACAAGTTTCCATGCATGATTCCCTATGGAATAGACATAAATGTCAGAGAAGTAATCATTAGTGAAAGCACGTATGTTTAATCATTATAAATAAAATCACTTAGACTGAACAGTTATGATGAAATGATAATAATCTATATCAAAATGAATAAAGTACCTAACTTATGTTCAAACCACATAATTTTATGTGTTGAGTTCTACTAATTATAGTGAGTGGTCTCAAACAGTTTATAAAAAGAGGTTGTATAATTAGAATTACAGTAAACTTGGTTGAAAAGGACGTATTTTAGGATCACATACAGATACTATCCAGTATGTTAAAGGGTGGTTATTCAGTTCACAAATCTCTTATTATTTCAATTCTGAATACTTCCTTACAGAATTTTCACTTGTTAAGATGATATAAAACAATAGTATCGTACCATTGATCTGTTGACGCTAGGAAGAATTGCCGAAATGACGCAATCATAACCGTCTCTTTTAAACTAGAGCTGACGAATTTAAACAAGGACAAAACGCGTCCTTCGGCTTGCACTTCTAGCTTCAATTCATCTAGTTTAAATGTTATGTATATGACATAATTAAAAAAAGAATTAATTTTGTCGAAAAAGAACTTGTTAAAGGACTTCTGGTAGACTATTTTTTTCAGTACAGCAAAGTTCCAAACTTTGACTAATTGAGCTGATAAAAAAATCCTTAGATTATCTATTAGAAAAACTGAAAACCTGACTGTGCATTTGATATTTATTTACAAAATAATATTTAATAAGTTCTTAAAACTTTTTTTACTTACAGTTGATTTCATGAGTCAATTAAAGCTGGACCACCATGGAAAACCTAGAAGCACTGAACGGTCATTTCGTCTTAATATGGGACTCCTCAGCAATGCGCATCTACGATAAAATTACTAGAATCAACAGTAACCTATGTTTTACTTATAGTTAAAATTATAGAAATATTCTCTTTACAGTATTTTTTTAAACTAATGAAATGATCATTCAAAATGATCTATTTTTTTGGGCCTCTAATTGTAAATAACTTATATATAAATTATACAATATAGATATTTTTTCAAGAAAAATTTAACATTATACCACTTCACCATGGTAACAAATCTATTATCGTTACTATTTGAAACTAGGTCAAATTAACATTACTACTATTGCCTTTACTCCCTATAAAAATAAGTTGAATACGAAACAAGGTCAATTAAGTAGGACGCGTGGTATTTTTATTTAATGTACATGTATATATATAACAAATGAAATTAGCCTGAGGATATCAGACAAGAAAACATTTCTCACTCATTATTTTTTTACAGTTTAATTTTTCAATAAGTGTACAGTAAAGATGAAGTGTAAAACAATACAAAACAATCAGCGATAAATTATGGAAACAAACAAAAAACAAAAAAAAGAAAGTTGAGGGGGTAAATTTTTTGGTGGAATAAAAAAAGGACAACTAGATTCTTCTCTGTTAAAAGGAGTTGATTCGTCGTTGTTGTTTTGTCTTACATTCTGTTTCTGTTTATTTATTTGTGAAATGGGAATTTTTTTTTAAAAAAAGAAGCAAATGATTGACTTTAACTTGGGACAGAAAAATTAACATTTTACAAACAAGTGAACATTGGAGAGAAAGTAACGCAATATGGTGAATGAAATACAATTTTACATTCATGCCTACTCATATTACCTCTGTCTTTTCTACTACAACTACTACTTCTTTTTCTTCATCTCCTCTTTGTTATCCTCTCTTCTTGTATTTACTTCGTTTACCCATTTTGATTATGTATTGATACAAAGAGACCTATATAGTAAAGAAAACTAAAACACAATGTATATGGTCAATTCTGTTATACCTTTGAACATTGAATAAATTAGCTTCAGGCTACAATGTTTTTTTATTCTTCAACCTAGCAGGTTTTAAAAATTAACATACAATTACATCATAAGATAAATATAGAATTAACCGACATTTATTATTTATTGTAAGCTCACTATTATTACTATCACAACTACTACTATAACTACTAATCATACTACTGATGATACTACTACTTGTTTTAAATCAAAATATCAGTTTTATAACTGATGGATCGAACCCCAGTGCTTTAAGGCTTTCAATGGTAGTCTAGCTAAGATCAGTTCATGATTTAAGCTGTGAAAACTTTACAGTTTCCACGAATCTCCTATACTTACAGTTATTTCGGAGTTAATAAATACCAGCATTTAACATAGTTCTATTTAGTAAGATAAAGCCAATTGTACATTTAGAACATTTCTTCCAATCCACTGACAATATTAAACCAAAAGATTAGAAATGAACGATCGTTTGTCAGTTTAACACATTACAGATTCGTGAAATTCGTTGATTTTTGACGAGAATACTTTGTACATACTAACTAAAATATGTAAGTTCTTACTTCAAGATTATATACTCCATTTTACGGACCAATTGTCAGGTTTCGACACTTTCAAAGCTTTATTTCAGTGTATATTTAAAT